AATATTCATCAGTTCTGTAAGTTTCAAGCCAAAAGGTACAATGGTTTTCCACTTATCGTGTTATCGGTGCTGCATATATGTTGAAAAAAATGAAAAAACAGCATAAATTCCCTAAGAGTGACCCGATCATGCTGATTTTCGAACTTGACCTGCGTATTATGAATATTCATCAGTTCTGCAAGTTTCAAATCAAAAGGCAAAATGGTTTTCCACTTATCGTGTTATCGGTAAAAGTGCACGGCGACGGCGACGACAGCGACGACGGCGACGACAGACGCAGATGATGGCTATATCTACAGACACATCTGTGTCTGTACATAAAAATGGATTTGAAATTGCAATTGGATGACATGACAGCCCGTCATGATCATTTGCAAACTCAGTATGAAAGAATGCATTTTTTTTTAGAAAAAATCCCAAGGCCAACTCCTAGAAATATTAAAAGTAGACCCACACCTGCACCTAGAAGTAGTAAAAAGAAAAGTTTGGAAACCCCTGTGAAAAAACCAATACTGAAACTAGAAGAGAGTGATAGTGAAAGTGAAAGTGAATCTGAATGTGAACAGAAAAGAGTTCCTTTAGTTGAAAGAGAAAAAGGACCTGTTCATAAAATGCCTAGTTTTAGTGGGAATGGAAGAGAAAATTGGGAAGCTTTTGTATTTAAGTTTGAAGGAATGGCAGAAAGATACGGATGGAATGATAAAAGAAAAACTAGCAGATTGATTGAATGTTTGGAAGACAGAGCTCTTGAGTATGCGGTAGAGTTTGGAAACTGCAAATATAAACGTTCGAAAGAAGTGATGTCCAAACGTTTTAGTATGAAAGAGTCTGCTTCATCTGCGCGTAGAGCACTTCAATCAATGAGACAGGGTGAAAGCGAATCTTTGCAAGATTTTTCTCATCGTGTGTTCATGGCATCTAGAGAGGGATATGCAGAAGGTGGTGAAGGAATAGCTGTGGATTCATTTTTGAGAGGGTGTCGTGACAAAGAATCTGCAAAGTTGGCTATGGATAAAGAGCCTAAAGATTTATTTGAAGCGTTAGAGTTTGTGAAAGTTGCAAACAATAACTTCAAAACAGTGTATGGTACAGGNAATAGCTGTGGATTCATTTTTGAGAGGGTGTCGTGACAAAGAATCTGCAAAATTGGCTATGGATAAAGAGCCTAAAGATTTATTTGAAGCGTTAGAGTTTGTGAAAGTTGCAAACAATAACTTCAAAACAGTGTATGGTACAGGTGGGAGAAATGTGCATATTAGACAAGTTGGAATATCTGATCAGAGTGTTGAGAATGGAAGCTTAGTGGAAATCAATTACTCTACAATATGCAGAGAACCATGTCTGCAATGTGTGATCAGATGAAAAGAATGAATGATGCATGGGTGTCACCGTCAAATTCTCAGAGAAATTCTGGTAGAATGGTAAAGTCGCCCCAGAATGGAAACATAAATCAAAGTAGAGGGGGTCCACCACAATGTTTTAAATGTGGAGAAAGAGGTCATGTTCAAAGGGATTGTAAAAATGAAATTGTAGAACATCCACCTAATCTCAATGTTAGTAAAAATGCCAGCCCAAGTTCTATTTTGATTTGTCATAAATGTGGACAGAGAGGTCACATTCAAACAAATTGCCCTCAAAATAGAGAAATGCCAAAGAATCCTCCTCCTGGTGCAAGAAATTTGGTAAACTGGAACGGGACGAATTGACCGACCGGATTTCGGATCCCTTACTTCATGCTGAAGGTCGGATTATGGATAGTGGAAATGTGAAAATGATGAATGTTGGAGAATTAGTGGGAGAAAATTTTGTGATTCCTGTTAGTGTAAGTGGTGTGAAAACATTAGCAGTTGTGGATACGGCAGCTCAATTTACTAGCGTAAATAAAAGATTTTATAGTAAATTGCAGGGTGTACCTGGGTTTTGTGAGACTCTGAAATTAATGCTTGCTGGAAAAAATGCATTTATGATGGGTCATAGAGTAGAAAATTTGAGTATTGAGATAGATGGAATAGAATATAAGGAAAATGTGTATGTTGCAGATTTGCAAGAAGGAATTGATATGTTGTTGGGATTGAAGTTTTTGAAGGAGAGAAATTGTGTGGTGAATTTAGTTGATCAAACTTTGATCATTGGAGAAAGATGTGTGAAGGGAAGCATAGAAGTTGAAGGTGACTCTGATTTGAGTAAAGTGAATGGTGAGACAGAAGCTAAAAGTGATGAGAAATGTGTTGATGAATTAGAGAGAGAAGTTGAAATTTGTGAAAATATGGTGAGAACGAAAAAGAGAATAGTAGTTCCTCCATTGACAGTGATGAGAATTTCTGTTTGTGCAGATTATGAGTTAGAGAAAAAGAAAGAGTATGTGATAGAACCTTGTGTTGATAGACAAGTGTTGGTATCTTGTGCATTAGTTAAAGGTGATGATGTTGTTCCTATAGAGATAGTGAATGATGGAGAAAGAAATGCTGTTTTGAAAGCAGGTAGTGTGTTAGGTGTTATTAAGGAAGTTGAGACAGTTGCTTCTGAAGTGAGATGTAAAGAATATGTAGATGGAAAAGCTAGGGTGTCTGCTGTGAATGAAGCTGAAATGAAGTTGAAAATAGATGAAAATATGGATAAAGAAGAAGTGATGAGAAGTTTGAAAAGAGATTTGCCTGAACATTTGCAAGATTTATTTGAAAGATCAAGTGAGGAGCTTGATTCAAATGAAATGGTTGCATTGTGTGAAACTTTGAGAGATTATGAAGATGTATTTGCAAAGCATGATCTTGATTTAGGGTGCATGAAAGGTGTTAAGCATACTATTAACACTGGAAGTGCAGCTCCTGTGAAACAGAAATTGCGTAGAACTCCATTGGGAATGGAAGGAGAAGAGAGAAAGATGCTTGAAAAGTTGTTAGCTTCTGATGTTATTCAGCCATCAAATTCTGAATGGGCATCCCCACCAGTATTGATAAGAAAGAAAGATGGAAGTGTTAGATGGTGTGTGGATTACATGGAATTAAATAAAAAAACTATCAAAGATTCTTATCCTATTCCAAACAATGGTGATTGTTTAGATTGTCTGGCTGGAAATCAATTTTTGAGTTTGATTGATATGGCG